CGCAGGTGCCGCTGAGCCACCATGGCGTGGTTGCAGGCTTCGTCACAAAGCTGGGCAGGTGCTTGGAGGCACAGTGCACGGAGTGTCGACAAAGCTAAGCTGAGGAACAATGCCACGGATATCAATTGCAGATTCACTGGAAATGGATCTGGCAGTCCATGAATACTAAGCTTGGAGCTTTGGACCATGAGATCGAACGCCAGAGCTGGGCATGGGGGGTTCAAGCGAATCTAGGGATGACAAAGAGCCAAGGGCACGACGCACAAAGCCAAGCTGACGATTTTGGTTGCAATGTAACATGCTGCGGTCTGTCGTTGTCCCAGTTATGGCCGCTCGACTTCAGTGGCGCCCGGAAGACTTTGCGAAAGCTTTGAGTCGGTTTAGCGGCCTAGGTTGAGGATGGTGTAGGATCCTTGAGACTGGGGAGACCTCGGCTTCAGGGCTTTCTCTTATCGGAGCTCCAGTGCAGCCATTGAAGTACTTTCACAGCCCTGGGACAACGATCGCCACGCCATGTTGGCGAGCGAGCCAAGAAGCTGCACACGCTGCGGCAACACCCTTGCACGCTAAACGGAATTCCAGTCGCGGTCCCACCCTGTTCTTTACCGACATCAGCAGCATTGGAGTTGATGTCTGGGTCGGGGGTGTTGACTATTCTGCCGAGCCGTGCGCTGCCATCGAGCTACATGGGGGAAGCGCGCCCCCGAGGGCCCTTCCGACACTTCGAGCAATGCTGGAATGAACCCGAAACTACAGGCTAAACCGTGCTATACGGGCCTCAACACTGCATAGTTTTTGAGGGGTAGAAATGCATAACTGCACTTCGGGCTGTAGGGAATCTCATTGATGCCTAACTGTTCAGACTTCTGTATGCTGACGGCACCCTCTAACTTCTTGTCGAGAACCCAGATAAAGATGTGTCCTGTACTAGACTCACTAGATAGCATGATGAACCGGACCCTCTCGGGCGGCACTGACACTGGACACTGGTAAGCTTGCTCTTGGAGCAGCAATCAGGCGCCAGGAATGGGTTGGGGGTAAACACAGATCTCGGAAGTTTTGGTCCTCTATTGCAGGCCAGTACCCCGAAACCCTGAAGCCTCTCACACCTGCCCCGCACTCAAGATCGCGATGTTCGGAAAACTCTACAGAAGTCTACAACCCAACCCAACGAAGAAGATCCTTATGAGACCCTATCCCTCTAAACCCTAGATCCTATCCCCAAACTGTAAACTCTCAATGCCTGCCAGCATAGGCCGGGACGGTGAGTAGTACAAATCAAGAACTGAACCAGGACTCTGGCGGGAACCAAATCCTTAGGTCAGCGTCCCTCAATCCACCAGCTCGGGAAGCATAGATCCGTGAAGCCAAAAGTTTCTGACGGGGTTCCGGGGGTTCTGTAGGGTCTAGGGTAGACGTGAAGTGAGGTAACCCGGCCGTGAGACCGGGGCCGGCGCCTGGGGTGAAACACTTGGCTCGCTCACTGCCCTTTCGCTGTTATGGGATATGCAATCTCTTTCGCTTTCCACCGCCTTAGACGTCAGATGTAGTAAATGTAGTACTCCAAAACGGCGGCATACGAACAGCACCATCTCAGCTCCAAGCAATTCATACAGTCTGTTGTTGGCTTTCGCCTCAGGAGTAGCTGGGGCTTCGAAGATCCGCGGCTGCTCTTTGGGCACGGGAGAAACGGCAAAGCTGCTTGCGCCCTTCCCAACTTGGATCTTGCACAGATAGAGCGTCTGCATGACGATGCTGATTATGAACCGCCAAACCCTAAAGCCTAAACCAAAGAACCCTCAAGCTCATGGACTGATGCACCAAGACCTCTAAGACTACTAAGTCATTCCAAGAACCCTGCCAAGCAACTAATGGAGTCTTGCAGAGTTGTAGAGGGCGTTCACAAGGCAAGGTTTCATGTGGGTGGGGGGGCCTCTATACTAGAAGTCTGGTTCGGGAATGTCAAGTAACGTAACTCTGAATTGAAAACAAATGCTTCTGACCCCATAGGTCTGTCTGATCATCCCTTCACCGATAACTGACCCGAAGCCACATGGAGCTGTAGATCCCCTGAGGAACGAAGCCACAAACTGCGAGAAGGTGATCTTCAACTCCTGCCCATCCGATCCTGGCAGTCACACAGCTCATGCGGCTGTGGTCTCAAATCAGGCTGCGAGAAAGTGTGCAAAACGACATAAGAACTGCAAACCCTCCACCATGTGAGAGAAGGAAACGCCTTTCTGCTCTTCGCCGAAGATCTCCCCGATCTCTTTATCCAAGTATTTGCGGCCTCGCTTTCATCGATCCGGGGAGTTGGCATGCGCAAAACAATGACTTGGCATCAGTGCGTTCTGAATCCGTTTTCTTCTTGATCGTAGGAAAATCCCCAAGCCGAGAGGCTGGGTCTTTGGAGTTGCCCAAACCACTTTTCGCTGGCGGCGGATTGAGAGGCTCTAGGGGCTCTCTGCCTAAATTGCCTGCCTAAACCCACCAACCCTGCGAGCTACCCCTTCATGCCCTTTAGACTCTTCTCAGACAAGTTAGGGCCGAAACAAGCTCATCTTACCCAACCCGTTTAAAGTACATCTCAGGAGCAAGCCGTGTCGCACGTAGATGATTTGCAAGGTCTGTTCCACGCTGATCTTGCCGTGGAAGTCCTGTCACGGAAGGCAGCGAGAAGAATCCAAGCAGGCTGGACGGTGGCTGTTTGAGGCTTGTTTTCCTGTGCAACTCGATTGCGAGACCGATCTATTTGTCGGGGCCAGGCCTTGTCGTACATCAGAAACTGGACCAAGTTAAAGAGGTTTCGCGGCCTGTGGTATCAGGGAGCTTCGACAGGTGTTGCTGTGGGTCAGCAACTTGGAAGGTTTTGGGAGGAGGTTGCAGGTGCTACAAAAGCTGTTGATATAAAGTGTTTGAAGTGCTGTCAGTTTGGGCATCTTCGCACACATAGACCACTGCTGGGGCGACTGCTCAAAGCCGGTCTGGTCGGAGATGCACCTGGCAGGCAAACAAGTGAGCATAAGAAGCTTGAAGGGACAGATAAACAAGCCCTGGCCAGCCTCTGATACATGGTCAGGAACTCATCCCATCCTGCATTGAACGGGGCGTGCCGAGGCTTTGTCTAAACTCTAAACCCAAACCCAAATCGAGAAGAGAGGCAAGCTAGGGCCTGGGGCACAAGTGGCTTGAAGCAACCTATAGTGGATAGCAAGTCGACAAAATCGCCACTTGAAGCTTCCGATCGAAGATCTTTGCTAGGGCTGGGAAGGTACGAAGACCAAAGGCCGCGCGTCAACCATCACCGCAGCCAACACTCCTAAATCCAGCTAAGCCATCGAATCCGAGACACGGCACCCTACATCTGCAAACCCTTGAACCCCTATGCAGCCCACCCAGACCCCACGCCAAACCAGGGCAGCACCCAAGGCTCCGTTCCTACCATGTGATCCAAATCATCATCGACCTGCAGCGGGTCGAAAGTGGCTTTGCGATGTCCGGCTTGGGGTTACTGTAGGGTTGCGGGGGGGTCCAGGGTTGCAGGTTTCAAGGCTGTAGGGGACTGAAACGGATGTTGTAGGAATGGATAAGAGCAGTGGCTCGTGGCATCCTTAGCCCTTGTGGTCTTAGCATGTCTTAGCTGCACGAAAACCGCTCATCGGAGACACCGATATACTTGTCGAAATAGTCTCGTTTTGCAGAGTACTGATCCGAAAACTTGGCGCGCTGGGTGCGGCAATCGGAGATCCCGAATAGTCCTCATCAGTCCGCAGATGCTCCCTCGAAGCCCACTTTGGTCTAATCCAAGCGGGCTTCCATACTACGGCCGAGTGCGCGCACCGGCTTGCCTCCCAAATCCAGAGCTCGATCTGATCTTTCGCGGTCTTTGCACCTCGAACCCAAGCATTGCAGCCTGTATAGGCTCTTTTAATCCATTCTGTGAAAGTTATATGCTGTCAGACTAGCAGATTACATTGCGCTAAGGTATGCTGCATCATGCTGCATTTCGTTAAAATGTGAGAGGGTGGCTCTCTCTCCCTCTCTCTCTCTGTCTGTGCGTGTACCTTCGTATTCTCGCTGCTGAATTTGGATGGTTGATGGCAGAAATACGATCCGAGTTCAAGTTCAGATCGCAGCAGAGGATGCGCAGCTTGTTTCGGTACGTGTCTCCTGGTCTTGTGCTGGGACTCTTCAGTAGAACTGCGTGGGCATCCGCCACGCTCAATCAAAGCTGCCAGCATCGAGCCCCAAACCAAGAACTCGCAAAGAATGCCCGGTCTTCTTCGAAGGCCAATCAGGAGCCACCAAACTTGTCGAAACTCACTGCTGACCGGTCTGGGCTCCGGTCCAAGCTTTACCAAGGCTTCTGACAGCTCCTAGCAGCGCGATTCTCCAACCAAAAAAGTAGAAACCTAGATTTAGATGTGTCAGTAATTCCTTGTTAGCGTCATATTCGTGTCAGGTCTCAGCAAACCAACTAGACTTCGAAATCCCATATCCAGGTTTCTGCCTTCCCTATACATCTTGACATCAGGACTTGTCGGGAGGGTCCTGCCAGCAGATCTTGTCGTCTTTCTTGGTGTCCAGCCTCGGAAAGGGTGGTTCGCAAAACTTGGGTTCTCGCCGTAAGTGTATAAGAATACCTTGTTTAATCAAACTACCATAACCTACTTTTTGTGGGTTCTTACTATACATCCTAATATGGATGTTATAGGGACCCTACACAAAAGTAGGTTTTGGTCGGTCAAGGTAGAATTATGTAGGGTTCTCATGATTTTGACAGGTGTCTTAAAGAGCTGGCATCTAAGGGACTTTCTTCGGGTCAGTTGCGAGACTGGTAAGGGATACGGTCAGCAGAGCCTGTCGCCGCGAATACGCATCCCTCTCTCCGAAAACCTCCACTCGCGAAAGCAAACGCCTTGCGGTCTGCTGAGCGGTCCAGGCCCCGTGCCATTTGAAGACTCTTTTCAGGTTTTCCAGCTCGACTGGCTGAACAGTGTCCTGGAAACACACTCGGGAGCTCGTTTTGTGGATCCTAAAAGTCCTAAACCAATATCCCATTGCACAGAGACACCACCTGCCTACCTACATGAGCCGAACTTCGAGCCCTTATGCTATATAGACTCATCCTCACAAAATAGCCTCTCTGAGAGAGTTAATAAGTGACGAGAAGACAGAAAGGAGAGCCGGCCTAATCGTGGGCGGGACTCTCGACTCATGAAAGCCACCCACCCCTCGAGTTCTCAAAGTCCACTTTGGTGGTGTTCGAACAGATCGAAGCTTGCAGTTGAAATCTCGAAGGGGCGGTGTAGGATCTGTAGCGTTTAGTTTAGGCTTTGGGCATCTTCCAGAAATGCTCTGCATTGAAGGCGGGTGAAGCGATAAACAAGCGTACAACCTCATAAGAACCTGCAAAACTCCTTTCAAGACCCTGTTCTACTAAGACACTCAAACATGCCCAGGCTTCTAGGTGTTCACTCATGCCTTCTAAGAGCTCCTGAACTCGCAACCTCGACTCACCTCAATGCAAGGAAACCGCCAGACCTGCCATGGGAGTCGCCTCACGTAGGAACCGGATTTCAAAGTTCCCCCCAAAAAAACAATGCAAACAAGCTCGGACCAAATAAACGCAATACTCCAACGCTGAAACCAGTAGCCCCTTGGCTTGATAATTATTGGAACAAAACTGTAACATGATTCCTAGCGAACACCTATATATTCAAGATGCTCAGAGGCACTAGCATTCGCTGATTTTGGTTCCTATGCGGGAGCTTGGACCAATATCTCCGACACTTATGTCCACTACAAGGCAGGAGGTTACTATGAATGGGGATTGTTGTTCAGGATCTCCTGATCCTAAAGGAAATGCGGTCTCAAGAAAGCCCTCTCATTCATCCTACATCCGTGGGGCAGTCCCCGTGGGCGAGGTACTCCGAGTTCTGGAGCGTTGCACCCCTGTAGGGCTCAGGGCAACTTGACAGCTGTTGTGCTTTTTGAGGGTTTAATGCTTGGGTTTGGGTGTGATTCAAAGCCGGTTGGGGGCTCGGACCCTGCTTAACCTCAACACCCCGTCGATACTCTACAAATCCCTAGGCCTGCGGGTTCGCTTAGACTGGAGGGTCAGCCCAAGTTTTGTTGGGGTTCAGGGTTCAGGGGGCGGCTTAGGCTTCAGGGACAAAAGCGTGGACGGGGGGTTTAGTTGTGTGTATTTAATCAATAGACCCCTTGCATTAGTCAAGCTTATTGACATGCTGATATGCAGATCCTAATCCTTAGCATAGCGGGTAGTAATCAGGGATCTCTATTCGGCTTTCGAGTCCGAATTCAAGGGGTTTAGGGTTCCCTCAACCCTATCCCTAGCCCTAGACCGTCTCAAAAGTCGCGAAGCACAGGCTTGATTGTGGTTGCAGGCATGACTTCACAAAGCATGCCTCAGCACGCGGCAAGCTCTTGGCCCCGACACTGGGAAGAGCAACCCTAAAAGCTGCCTCAAAGCATGATAAACGCTTATAATAACCCCTACAATGTATATCGTATAAGCCCTTACCGGCCTCCAATCCCGCGACCTTCATCCAAACCTACAGTAGTCGATGCATCATCATCCTGCCTGTGGTTGTTCTGCAGGGGCACTCCTCGTCGGAAGCCTGCCCTGGCAGGAAGTCTTGCTCTCGGGGTGTGACATGTTTTGACATTATGCATGGCTCAAGCCTACGTTGGCAGCTAGTACATTTCCCTTAACCCAAAGAACCGAGAATAGACATGTACGTATACATACAATACATATATATATATATATATACATACACGAAGATGTGCATATAGATATGGATGTACACAATTGCCACATACACGTACAGATACAGATACCTACACGCTTACCAATAACTGTCCATACCGAAACCAGACCTATGGACCTAGACCTGTAATTAATAGACATTATCCGCCGACCCCGCTGGGGCG